AATGAGAGAATACATTAACCTAAATTCTTATGAGAGGATTGCAAGGGAAGGGAATCATAAAGATGGTAAAATGACTTACATGTGAGTGTAAGTGATGGTTTGTTTATAGTCAAAGGCATCTCTTTTGTCTTCAGACTTTGATATAAAATCCTCTCAATTATTTTCCTGATGTACTCAGCACTACTAGTAGATGGGTATCGAAACATGAGCACCATAAGAATGTTCACACCATTTTCATCTGGACTAAAGAACAGAAAAGCATATAAATAGAGATAATAATAAAGCTAGCTTTCTAATCATTAATAACTTTTAGGTATTAAGATTCACGATAAATTTAAAGAATAGAATAGATATGTGTATATCAGATTTTTACATTATTTTTAAAAATACTGGGTAAGATACATAGCAGGAAAAAAATTGTTCTCTCCCCTTACTTAACTCATAGTCTGGAGGGTTTGTGGAAGAAGGAGATGTTTATGAAATCATGCTTAAAATATACTTAAAGGATTTGCTTTTTATGGTATTTTGAGCCAAAATTGTAACCATCATTATTCTTCAGTAGTGGTGTAGAAGAGAATGCTCTGTGCTCACCAAACCCAGCTGCCTTGTCTCTTGAACACAGATCTGGATTTCATTTCCTAGCCTCCCTTGCAGTTTATTGGAACTCTCTAGTAAATTCTAGACAATGGAATGTGGGCAGAAATGATGTGCCCCACCTCCAGGCCCAGCCCCTGAAAACCTCTCATACACTCTTCCATGCCTTCACTCTTCCTTTATTTGCCAACCAGAAGATCCAGGGGGCAATTCCACCGTCCCCTCCAACACCCACATCCCCTGCTGCTGCTTCTGACTCTTTGAACTGAACCACTGAAATGAAATAAACCTTTATTGTGTTAAACCATTGGTATTTGGGGGGTGGGGGGGCCCAGCTGTTGGTCAGTTAATACAAGTTTGATAAGTATATGATTAGAGGAAGCAGTTATAAAAGGAAATCTTTTGATAGGAGTTTCAAATATATTAACTTGTTAGGTATAGAAAGCCTCTGTTGCCTTTGAGAATGAATTTAATTGGAAATAAATAAAGAATAAAGGAAAGAAAGAAGAGAGAAGGAGGGAGGAAAGGAAGGAACAAATATACAGAGGAGGAGAAGGAAAGAAAAGGCATGAGCTCGTTAACCATATGTGGTTACTTTACCATCAAGAAGTAAAGCAGACATGTTAAGTATTACAAATACATATATTTCTGGAGCTCCAGTGGCGCAATCGGTTAGCGCGCGGTACTTATACAAATACATATATTTATATATCAATGGATGTCCATAGAAAAATTAATAATTTTAATCAGAATGTATAGAAAAGCTATATTATTCTAATAAATGCCAAGCCTTCAGATATAATGTGAGCAGTACATTCAGGATGCATTCTAGTCATTTATTTTAGTCTCTGGCAACAAGTGTATGTTCAATTACTGATGATTGCCTTTCATCAGAGTATAGAAATGAAAGTATTAAAACATTTTTAAAATAATAATGGAAATGCAATGGCGTTAAAGAAAATCCTTATTGCAAAGAAAGTCATAGGCTGATTGTTGGGTAGGCTTAAAATGAGGATAGTCAAAAAGAACTGGACTAAGTTCCACTGATCCCTCGCTTAAGGAGCAGGGTATGTTGGCAGTACCATCCCCCCTCTTCCTGTATTTTTTTCTCTTGGAGAGTGTCTTTATTTTTAATCCAATAAGTGACATTGTCTCTTGTCATAAGGCACTCTACATATTTCTACTGTGACTGGGAAGCGGCTGGGCAGTATCAGCTGGGCTACTCAGGATTCATGACATCTTTGTATCCCTGCGAAGAATTGCTCAGGGGAGTTGAGCAATCATGTTTGTTCAATGCTTCTTAATTACTGGGTTGAAGTTGCAAACCAAGTTTACCTACCTTATTTTGATAACATGAGATTTGATAAACCGACCTGCTCCAGAAGAACGTCGAAATATCCTAGACATCTGAGTAGAAAAAATTTATAATGTATTAGTCTTAAGAAAACTGTTATTCCTTTTCTTATCCAGAGACTGGAGGGAATGACAATGATTTAAGTTTATTCTCAGACATGTGAACAGGCTATTCACAGTGATAAGACTAAACCAGGTTCTAATCCTTATAGAATTGAATAACCTCAACAAAACTGTTCAATTTTGCTAAGCGTCTGTAGAATGGGATAATAACAATATCTACCTCAAAGAGTTGTTTTGAGGATTAAATGAAGTAATGTATATCATGCATTTTACACCTTACCTGGCATATTGTGAACTATTGATATGCTCATTTTAATTATTGTCAGATGAATTAAAAACCTGCATCTGGTCCATTATTTGTTGATTTCTTAAATGATTATCTCATTGCTACAGCCTTTGATGTAATGTGCAACAACACCTATTGTGTGACTCTGACACCCTCACTTGTTAGTCATCTCTCTGTGGCAGGCAGGCTTTCACAACTGGTACTAGGTTTAGAAGTAAGTTTCACCACACTCCACACTGTCAGCATTTTATTACTCAGTTTTTCTGGTCCAAACCATTGAAATATTTGGGATGTTCAGAGAACTGATTTCCTAAAGGGTTCTGATTCCCAAAAAACTATTAAGGCACAGCCTGAGACAAAAAAACAAAACAAACAAAACAAAAAACACTGAACTGAGGGTCAAAAATCACAAGTCCACATATGTTTACATAGGCCCACATCCATGGTAAATCTTGTCCCTTAATTACTATATCCTCTGGGAAGAGGGAATATTACCTTCTTCCTTATAAGGTTTTTCCCTCTCCCTGAATCCTCTAAACTAGTAACAATGCTCAGTAGATTTTACCTCCTAAACATTGATTCTACATCCTTTCCTTCAATCCTACTTATATGGTCTAAAATCAGCCCCCTTGAAACTTGGGCCTTTGCAGCAGTTCCCTCTCTGGCACATTTATGTGGTTCTACTCTATTCTCTCTCCCCTCAGTTGTCCCCTACAATGCTAGCAAAGGGGATACCTCTAAAGTGCATATCTGAGTCTGTTACACTCCTGCTTCAAGCCCAATGTCTCCCTTCATGTGAGCTCCATAATCCTGTCCTTTCGTTGGCCCCTGCCCGGTCCCTACCTCCAAAACCTGTTCTCTTATCTACTGAATGGCCTGTTCTTTCCTACACCCACTAAATGGGTTCATACCTCTATGACTCTACACATTCATTTCTGTCTTCCTACAATATACTTTTTTTCCCTCAGGAAAATTTATTCAATTACAATTCTGTAATTTATTCAATTACAATTTATTCAATTACAATTCTGTAATTCTTTAGAAACTCCAGTGACAACTAAGTTTTCTTTGACTTGCCCTCCTGAACCAAAGTGAACATTCCTTTGCTTGGGCCACCTCAGTATCTTGACATGATTCTATTACAGCAATTATCATGCCGGTTTGCAGGTGTGTCTTTCCTACTTGAGACTGTGAGCTGTGTGACGGCTGGGAGTTTGTCTGATTCATTTTTGTATCTCTAGCATTTGGCACGTTGCTTAGCCCAAAATAAACACTCAATGCATGTCTGATGAATAAATCCATGAGTGAGTACATGAGTAAATGAATGAAGAATCAACACTAAAGGGAAGAAGATAATAACGCATGGATTTGTTTCATCAGCAAATCATGTTGCCAAATGTAAGTAGAAATCCATGGGAATCTAAAATAAGGTGGGAACCAAGAGACCCCAGTGGTGACCTTCACATGGATGGTCATTTCAGGATTTTGAATCAGTTATGAATTATATCACTTATGATTTCACTAACTGCTCTCAGCTCATTTTATTCCACTTCTCAAGGAACAGGGAGAAAATCTGATTTTAATGTCTTTAGCATTTTATATAAAGGTCCTCTGAAATTTTGAACTGTGTATATAATGGCACTTTGGGAAATGATCAAGATTCATATCAGAGTATAAAAAATTACCAGGAATCTCTTCAAACTGCCCCAACCAGTTTTCTCAGTGGTTAGAGCATCAGCCCATGAACTGAAGGGTAGCAGTTTCAATTCTAGTTAAGGGCACATAACTCAGTTGCAGGCTCAATCCCTGGGTGGACCTTGTCGGGGTGTGTGGGGGAGGCAACCAATCAATGTGTCTCTCTCATATTGATGTTTGTCTCTCCCTGTCTCTCCCCCTGCCTTCCACTCTCTCTAAAAATTAATGAAAAAAAATCCTCAGGTGAGAATTTTAAAAAAAAAGAATCTCTTCAAACTAAAATGTGATATTATCAATATCATAGTCCCTTAAGGTGTCAATCTCTATTTAAAAATGAATAGATTCTGATACATTTCAATATTGGTATGACCATTAAGAACAGCTTACATGTATTAACCCACATACTACATAGTAGGCATGGGACTGCTTCCTTTGTTCAAACCTCACACACCTTATGAGTAAAGTATTTTATTTATCCTCAACAGTCCCATTTTATAGATGAAGAAACTGAGGCTCAGAACACTTAAGATTACTTGTTCAAGATAGCATAGAAAGCAGTGATTCTGCATTATGCTGTATACTTTAATATAATATTAAATGTCAACTATAATTGAAAAATTAAAAAAATTAATGAAAAAATATACAAACAAAAAGCACATGTATGTGGAGTAATAGAAAAACAAGTACGTCTGAGGTTGTGACAGCATAGTAGTTACGCACAGTATCAATTTCTGAAGTTGTCTCTTACTGGAAGGTTATTTTAGAAACATCATTTAGTGTCTCTGTGCCTAGGTCTCCTAACTTGTAAGAAGGGGATTATATATATAGCAGTTACCTCCTAAAGTGGTCGTCATCGTAGAAAGCATGAGGAACAGCAACAACAAAAAGTAGTGCTTCTGGCGCATGAACCCAGGAAATCTGGCTCTAGCTTTTGTATTATCAAGTCCATTATGTGACATAAACAACCCTGTGTTCCTTACATATTTGACAACAGGTGTTAGGGTAGGTGGGGGTAGAGAGGCCCGGGCAGCAAACCTTTAAAGGAGACCTCAATACATTTTTTTTATTTCCTGACTCTAAATCTCATAATAGATAACCTCTTGGGAGGTTTCTCCTTTCTGCTTCTGAGATTAGCAAGGCTAAGGGAACTGCTGCTCTCCAGATACTTATTACTGTAAGTAATTTCTGGAGATGTTTAATTCATGTTTACATTTTTCTTATAAGAACTCACTAATATTACATTTAGTCCAAATTACAAAAATTAATTATATTTTTCCCTTTCTATGGTCCAAATCATAAAGAACAAATGATTTTATTTGAAATCATTCTATTTTAAAACAAGAGTGTGTGAGCTCATGGTAGAATAGAAAAGTTCCCTTAAAATCAGATACTAATTGTAGTCCTAGGTTTGAACTCTAGCATTAAAAAGCAGTACAACATGTTTGAAACAACAGTGTGGCTCTGACTAATAGCACACTCAGTTACTGTCTCCGGCAAGACTGAGCTTGCGGCTTCCCCTCTGGCTGGGAACTACATGCAGATTAAGTCCTCATGGACGGTCACTAGTTACTGGATGCCAGCTAGGGAATCCCTTTCCAGCTCCACCTATGAAAATAAGTCAGGCAGATTTTGAATATTTCCTGTTACTGTCATGGAAACATGTACCACCAGAGGGCAAACACACCAAGGACATTCATTCTGTTTCCCTTTCTTCTCCACGAAAGCTTCCTGCCAGCTAAAAGGGATTTTTCCTTCCTCTGAACTAAAATCCCGATCATTTGGGTCAAATATTTGACAATTATATTCTGCACTGTGGCAACTCTCATACCATCATATCATCTTTTTAGCTCTCATATTATCTAAACTTTTAGTTTGTATTATTTCCGTACACAAACTTCCATACATAAACCATATTATAAATTCCAATTAGGAAGGAACTGTAATATACAGACCTTGGTATTCTTCATAGCCTTGCACAAAGTAAGTGATCAATAACATTTTCATTAATTGATGAATTCTCCAACCATGATTAATCAAACAACAGTGTGATTATTGGTCAATTAATTTTTTTCATTAGATTCCACAAATAAGTGAGATCATGTGATTTGTCTTTCTCAGTTTGGCTTATTTCACTTAGCATAATATTTTCCAGGTCCATCCATGCTGTCCCGAAGGATAAGAGATCCCTCTTTGTTTTTACAGCTGCATAGTATTACATAGTGTTAAATGTCTCACAGTTTTTTTATTCATTCATCTATGGATGGGTACATGGGCTGTTTCCACATCTTAGCTATTCTAAGTAATGCTGCTATGATGCACAATACTTTGTTTTAAAAAATTTTTAAACCTGAGGACATTGTTTGAGCCTCTGAATCCAGCCATGTCCAAAACCAAATGAATCTCTAGATTTTCCCAATAGTCCCTTCCTTCCTTCCTTCCTTCCTTCCTTCCTTCCTTCCATCCTTCCCTCTTCCCTTCCTTCCACCCTCCCTCTTTCCTTTCCTCTCTCCTCCACTCTCTTCCCTCCCTCCCTGCCTACTTCTCTCTTTCATTCTTTTTTCTTTGACTCCTTAATTGGGTTTCTGTTATTTTCTACCAAAAGTGTTCCATTTATCATGGGAAACAATGAGGTCATTTATGGGGCACCAGAAGAAAGAGAAGCAAAGGAAGAATCCTGCCTCAGATGACTTGGAGGCATACGTCAATGGAACCTTTACTGTCTATGATCAAGTATAAACAAAAATGTTTTCCTCTTAATACATTCCTTAAGAATAAGATTACTTAAATGGTGATGAATTGTTACAAAAGAGGAACTGTGGCAGATATTTGTCCCCTCCCCAAACTTTTGGACAGACGTGTCCCAGCTTCTATAAGTCTTGATAACAGCTCACACCTATATTTCTCCTGAAGCCTACCCTTATCTGACCTGAGCACATTTCTCAGGGATGGCTGGTAGCTTATGCTTACTTCCCTGGGCAGCCCTTGTTGTCATAACACAAACAGCCCAGCCCTCTTATCTCTGGGCAGAACCACCACTGTGCTGTAATTTAGGCTCAAGATCTCCTCAGAAATCAGGCTGAGGCTGCACTTCTCAAACCGCATCTTTGTCTAGCTTCTGACTTTGTACTTTTCTGTTGCCCTCGCACTCTTACAAGATTTTTCTGAAAGCTTTTGGCTAATAAATCATATAACCAAGAATCTTCATCACAGACTTGCTTTTGGGATCCCACCTATACAGGGATAATAAGCTGGAGCTAGAGAATGCTCTGCTATCCATCTGTCTCAATGTGCCCATTGTTTAGAAGGTCAGTGACCACACGTTTTCAATTTCCAGATGAGATCTTTAGTTTGTAACCAGGAAAAAATGTAATGAACTTAAATGGAAAACTGTTTTTAGAGATAATATTATGTATCTCCAGAGATGTTTATATATTATATTACTTCTTTAAAAAGAGGAAAAAAAGGAGATAGAAAGAGAAAAACTGTTTAAAGATTCAAGCTTAGTTGTTGCAGTTTTAGAACATACAGAGCACCAAAAAAAGGATCTAATAGGAAGCTATTTTTTTAATCCCCACCTGAGGATATGTTTAGGAAGAGGAAGAGAGAGAGGGAAGGAGGGAGGAAGGGAGAGAGAGAGAGAGAGAGAGATCGACGTGAGAGCAAAACATCCATCTATTGCCTCCCATATGTGCCCTGACATGGGATTGAACCCTAAACCTAGGTAAACCTCATGGGAAGCTATTTTTAAGACATAAGGTTAGAAAGGTGTACAGCCAACATTAGTAGTCTTTCCATATTGAATATTCTGCACAGTAAATGAAGTCATCCTTCTATCCAATGATAATAATTATCATATCATTTATAGATTAGCTTTTGGGATTATTCTGAGCATTGATTTCCAAAATGAAGCCAATGTTTCATGGAGGGTATGGAAAATATCAGAACTTCTATTTTTATTTTACTTTTATATAAACAAACAAGTTTTTAGAGAATTGGCCTTAATAATACCAGGAATGCACTAACTACCTGATGTTCTCAGGGAGAATGTAGAAATCACTTCGGGGGCTGGAGTGGAAGGGGTCAGGGGTGAAAAGGAGGTGCAAAATGGGTGAAAGTTGTCAAATGGTACAAACTTCCATTTATAAAATAAATAAGTTATGGGGATGTAATTTATAGCATGGGGACTATAGGTAATAATACTATATTGTATAGTAAGTTTTCACTTGACATTTTTGATAGGTCTTGTGATTTTAAGGAAAATCAATTTTACCATAGGCTAATTGATATAAATAAGAGTTAAGTTCCTGTGGCAACTCATCAACCTTATAATAAACCAACATTATTGAAGGACCTTCTCTATAATTTGAAAATTGCCAAGAGAGTAGATCTTAAAAATTCTCATCATGATTTAAAAGAAAAAAATTATAACTATGTGTGAAGTTAAGCAGGCATATGGTGGTAATCATTTCACAATAAACACAAATATCAAATCATTATGTTGTAATAATTTGATATTTGTGTTTAACATAGTATAAACATAATTCTGAATAAACCCATCCACCAATAAAGTGAGAATTGTGGCAACATAATTGTAAGAAACACTATTATGTTACATGCAAACAGTAAATAGCTATGGAAAAGAAAATACTACTTACTGATTTTTAACATTTAAAATCAAACTATCTAAAGATAATTGAATAAAATGCTAACATTTTCCACCATTGCTAATAATTCAGAAAAACATGAGAACAGTGGAAGTACTGGAGGGCTAAATACTCATCTTTTAGTTAAGAGATAGTGTTTAGCCCAGCTGACTTGGCTCAGTGGTTGAGCATCGACCTATGAGCCTGGAGGTCATGGTTCATTGGAATGGGACCATTCCAGGGGTCAGGGCACATGCCTTGGTTGTGGGCTCAATCCCCAGTGTGGAGTGTGCAGAAGCCAGCCAATCAATGATTCTCTCTCATCATTGATGTTTCTATCTCTCTTTCTCCCTCTCCCTTCCTCTCTGAAATCAATATATATATACATATATATATATTTTTAAATAGATAGTGTCGCCTGGCTGGCGTGGCTCCATGGTTGAAGGTCCACCTATGAACCAGGAGGTCATGGTTCCATTCCCAGCCAATCGATGATTCTCTCTCATCATTGATATTTCTATCTCTCTCTCCCTCTCCTTTCCTCTCTAAAATCAATAAAAACATATATTTTTAAGAGATAGTATCTATAGCCAATCATAGACACATTACATCTTTTTCCCTAATAGGTTTCAAAAGCTAAAAGGGCAAAAATACTGATTTTCTAACAAATCTGTGGTCTCCACAGACATGCTTTTCATGAGAGCAAAAGTGGAACACTATTCTATTTGACTTCCTACTATGATAGGTAAAAATTTAGCTTATCTTATATATTTTTAAAAAATATAAATGCCTTGATAAGTACATGTTTTCAAAGACAAGCAAAATATTTGAGGGGCATTATTAATTTTGAGATCAAGAATTAAAGACACACATCCTTATATGTGATACTTTACATACATTTAAAAGCAAAATAAACAAAATTATAAGGCCAATATGACCATCCTAATTCTCATGTTAAAAAAAATGATAAAGGAAAATGAATCAAGAAATAAAATCAAGTTAAAAATTGGGAAAACATCTGTCTCAACCAACAATCTCCTCAGGTCTTAATTTGTTGCCTCTCTAACTACATAACTGTAATAGTATGGAATATTATTTTAAATATTTTATATACATTAAGTTATTTAATCTTCTTAACCATATAACCTAGATACTATATTATCCTCATTTCACAGAAAAAGATATTGAAGCATGGAGAGGCAAAATTACTACAATAACCACATTCAAAGTGAGACAGAAAAACACATTTATAAAGTTTAAAATTTTTCTATTTGGCTTACCATTCTCTCAATCTGATGACTCCTTTGTGTAAACTCTTTAGAGGTTTTTATTCCATAATTTTCTCTATATTTTACGTTTGTGACTTGAAAAGAGGCAAGGTAATAAAATGACTTATCATCTGAAAGGTAAAAATAAACAACAAAAATCACTGCTTAAGTATCATCAGTTTCTTGTCTCCAGTCCCCAGCCATTATGATGAGCAACAAAAAAGTTAGAGATATTAATTGTCTGGCACTTAGTATTTAATTAGTAATACAGAAACTATATTTTAAAGTAAGACCCAAGAATTTATGGACTTGAGAGAGAAAACATGGCCCCTGACCTTTAGGTGCTGACCCACTACTACCACCTAAGCCTTGGTATCATACTCTTGAACATAAACAATTTCATAGCACATCAACATCACACAAGGCCACTCTTGGCCATATAGACAATGACAAAAACAAGACCATTCCACAGATATGTTGAGTTCAAACAAAAACACTCTCCAAACAAACAAGACAGAACATCTCTCTATCCTGGCTATTATACGTGACTGACAATCATAACTTTAAAGCCTTACTTCATTGCTTTTGCCTTCTAGATAAGATGTACTAAGTTATGAAATCACAGCATTAGTCCAACATCCTGACAGCATCCAATCTAGAGAACCCCCCTCAAAATTAGTTACAAATCAAAATCTTATCATCTCTAACAGTGTCTGACTGACCTGTCCCATGGTTTCCATGGCCTGTGCTTTCCTTCCCTGAACATGCAATAAACCCACTACAGATGTGTTCCTGGTGGTCCCTGGTTGGTGGACATTGACAGACCATTCATATTCTAAAAGTCACTGTATTATTTTATAATCTTTATTTTTAAAATTATTATATATCAAAGAGTAAATAATTGGTTAGAATTATATACAGTGAAAGCTGAGATCCTTAGGATAAAAATAACTCCATCAAATACACTTCAATCCTGATGATGTAAATTTTATCATTAAGTCTGCCCAAATCCTTACTTTTGTTTCAATTATTTCACATATTTTATTTTTTTACTGTTCTTCCTTATTTCCACTCTTTAAAATTACTATTTTAATATTTTTTTTCTTCTTGGTGTTTTCTTGGTTACTGCAATATGGTTTTCTTCACTGACTTCGTTTTGATTTCCTTAAGCTATAAAAACATGTAAATTACTTTTTCAATGTGTCATTTTAGATACCTCTATTTTATCCCCTTCCACTTGCTTATCTTTTGTCATAAACTTTCTTCTTTGTTTTACAAAATTTCTATCTATAATCAGGCAACTCACAATGAACTGCATGGAAGGTCCATGTCATGGATTTCTCAAAATCTTAAGTATTAACCTCTGTAATGGTTTCCTATTGCTGCTATAACAAGTTTGCACAAATTCAGTGGCTTAAAAGAACACAAATTTATTCTCTTACAGTTTTGGAAGTCAAAAGTCTGCAATGAGTTTTACAGGGCTAAGATCAACATGCTGGCAGAGCTGGTTCCTTCTGAACCTTCTAAGGGGAGGAGAATCTTTTTTTCCCCCCTTTTGTCCACTTTTAGAGGTTCTCCTCATTCCTTGGCTTGTGATCACACATCATACTGTCTCCTTCTCCCCCAGCTTTTTTTTTTTTGTCACATGGCCTTCTTCTTTCTTTGACCTTCTTGACTCTTTCTTATCAAATATTTTGATTACATTTATGGCTCATCTGGAAAATCCGGAATAACCGCTCTCTCTCAGAATCCTCAATGTAATCATATCCACAAAGTCCCTTTTGCTATATAAGGTAGATCCGCATGTTGTAAGGATTAAGACATGGATGCCTTATGAGAGGGGCATTGTTCAGCCTCCCACAACCTCTTTGATATTTTGTAAATGCTTTTTTGTTATTATTTTTATTATCTCCTCAATTTTTCTTTTTTGAAGACCTGCCATATTAGGGATGGAGGGCATATTAAAAACAAAACTAGTTCACTATATTTTAACTCAAAGAAGATATTAACAACAAAGACACAATTGATGGGGTAACTTGGTTTCTCCTTTTATTTTATGAGAGTCTAAGAAATGGATATTATCAATCCCCCAATAAAGTGGGTAAGAAATTAAGCTGGACATGTTGAATAATATTCGTCTCTTTCTAGGAGGTTTTTTAAGTATGGTTTTATTGTTGTAAGTCATATACTTCTGTAAAATTTTAGACAAAGTCTCAGTCACATGTGATTATAAATACACATATCAAATCAATCTTAGTCAATTGTCATTTGGCTTACCTGTGTTATTAACTATCCATTTTTGCACATAATGTGAAATTATTCCTAAATTTTCTCTTGTTTCCCCAATCATGAAACAATCTCCTTTTCCTTCAAAAATAATGTTTGATCTTTAAGCCTTTACAAATATTTTTTAGGTAACTTTCCTCATATCATCAGCTCTTCTTGGGGCAACTCAATGTATTGATTTTGAGAAAAGTATATTAAACTCAGCACATGATGTGAATTATCTTTATTCTGAGGATAATCTTTCATTCTTTCTCTTTTTAAATATGTATTTCTCTGACATGTGTCTATCTATATTGCAAGCTTCACTGGTTGGAAATATGTAAGACTGAACTCAATACTGGAGCAAACTATAATTTAACATCAGTAAAACATTAGTAATTAAAATGTTAATGTCATGCAAATGACATTTTTTTATACAACAGAGAATTTTAAGATATTCAGTCATGGAGCACTTAGGCAATAGAAATGTGACCTGGATACTTACCCTCAACAACGTAATGACTAACAATGCCAATCGTAATTCCTATGATTGCTACAATTACCAATGTGAAAAGAGCTAGGCGAATAGGGTCCCAAAATTGCTGTCTTCTTTGAAATTCAACTGGAGGGTAATTATCAGCTTTTGAAAATTGAGCTGGTCTGTGATGATGGAAAGGAATAAACAGTAAGACAAAAAATAATCATTATGGCTTTATTCTATGTTCACTTACTTTATTACTCTACAGAAATAGTTTATACTGCTAAATAACAATAGGATGCTTAGATATTGAAAAGAACACAAGGTTTTAATTTGTATACCCTCCCCCAACATCCCATTCACAATGTAAGTTTTACTTAAAGCTCAACTGGGAATATATTTCCACTGCATTCTATCTGACGTTTTGGCACTAGAAACAAAAATACATAAAATAAGTCTTTTGCCCTCAAATATTTTATGGTCTCCTAAAGTATGTTCACAATTGCAAGTCTTTCCCAGTACTGCTGTGCTTGAAAGAGGATATGGTAAAGAGGTGGGCTGGACCAGATCCTGGGCAATATCATAACCCAGAATGAAGAGCTTGAAATTGATTCTGCAGGATATGGGAGTCAATAAAGGCTTTAATCAGACTGAGAATTTAGAAAAATCACAGAGATATGAATGAGGATGGGAATTAGAGCCAAAGGGCAGATAGGAAGACAGGTTTAGAGGTCATTTAGAAGGTTCAGGAGAGAGATGGTGAGGGCCTGAACTAAGGCTGAGACAGTAGGGTGGGGAAGAGAGATTTAGTTCCAATTCTTGAGATTTGTTGACTGATTGACTAGCTATGTGATAAGAAAAGGGTTAATGGCTCCAGTGTTCCAATGTCCAGGTAAATGATTGTGCCTCTAAGCAAGATGAGGAAGATTCAATGAACAAAAGGTTTCCAATGTGGCATCAATGTTGTTATTAATGAGCAATGTGGTGTCCTTACCATTGAGTCTGAGCCAAATGCAAAGTATCCATTTTATGTCCTTTGTCCTTGACTCTACTCTAGTTGTGTCTCTGACACCTGTTTGCATGACTCTAATAATAAAGTAACTGTTAAGGCTACTACCACACACCCAGAAAAAATAAAAAAGTTTCTTATGTCCCCATGTACAATATCTTCCTTCTCACCTAAGTGGTGTATGTTACCATTTCCAAAATATATTTAGTATGTAAATATTTTGATTGCTGCAATATTTTAAATTCTCACTTCTTTTTTCCTAAGTTTTATTAATTTGATTGCTTTACTGTGAGCCTTCAAGAAGCAAAAAATGACAACAATAAAATTCTGTCAAATATATGGGTGATAATCATATATTACCTCATGATAACTCTGCATCAGAGTAAAAAAGATTTTATCATGGTCAAATTTGATTTTAAAATGAGTTTTATCTGCTGATCAGCTATTCTCAGTTTTATATACTGAAATGTTGACTTTTGTTTCATGTGGAAGTTGAAATAAGTTTTACCAAGTATTCATTTCAGTGTTTTAAAGTAGAGTTGGCGGGAGGAGTATGCAGATATCAGCCAACTGCAAAGGAAGTGTAGTTTACCTTAAATAAATAAAAATTCAAGGCAGTCCTAAGTGTGCAATAAACTTTTATAACTTGATTATAATAATATATATTTTAAATGTGCAACTGGTTCAAATTCTGAAAATTCCTCTCTTCTGTAAAATGAGGAATAGAAACCTTTTATGGCTTTGTTAGGATTCAAATAGTACAAATAAATGACACAAGTAAATAATCAGAAGATAGTCTGTTTATTTCCTTCACTGAAGCTATGGCTTGGTTTTGCTCTATTCTGTTTAGTTTTGGGTCTTGCCTTTAAATAGAATTATTCACAACAAATTGGTAGTTACAAAATAGTCACAGGGAGGTAAAGTACAACATAGGGAATATAGTTAATAATATTGCATGTAGCCCTAACTGGTTTGGCTCAGTGGATAGAGTGTCACATGAGGAGATTTCGGTCAAGGGCATGTACCTTGGTTGCGGGCACATCCCCAGTAGCGGGTGTGCAGGAGGCAGCTGAACGATGTTTCTCTCTCATCGATGTTTCTAACTCTCTATCCCTCTCCGGAAAAAAATCAATAAAATCAATAAAATATATTTTTAAAAAATAATATTGCATGTAAGCACAATCCTTAGTCTGAAGGCAACAAACCCAGAATATTTCAAATAAGATCCACACTTTTTTTCTAACAACCTCTTGGATAATGCCTTATCTTTTAATGTTTCGATGTGGACATCAAATAAAAATGGCATTGCTAGGAGATCACATTAATGTAGTGATGACAAAATAACTGTCAATGTCAGAAGTTCATGTCATTCTAAAAAACTCATTAAAATACAGGAACTAAATCCTTTTGGTATTTTGAATATAAATGAAACAATAGTTAGAGTAATGAAGTACACATGAAACGAGTATTAGAAAAAGCATGAAATTCAGCATCATAAATTCAAGTGTTCAAACCTTGTTTAGTCACATATTGACCCTGTTATCTTGATGTCTCTGATCCTAAGAATCCCTTGTGTGTTAAATTAAGGTGATGATATCCCTCACTTCTGAAGGTTGTTTTGAGGATTTTTTAAATCATGTAGAGATAATTCATAATTTCTGAAAAACTATAGGAATAGGAACTGTCATAAAATATACCACTGAGAAAAATAGCAGATTATTCTTTTTATATAACCCTAATATCTAGAATAATTCCTTACATGAATTTTGCTGTTCTTCAAATAAATGAATGAATGATAAATAAAAGAAATGCAGTTTAGATACTTGATCTAGAAAAGTAATTTGCATACAAAAGCTGAAGAATTCTAAAACATAAGTATTATATTAAATACTCAACAAACATTTATTTCATAAACACCTACCATGTTCTAGATACTAGTAGTTGCAGAGTACATAGTGAATGCAATACAAATACATGGTCTTTGTTTTCATAGTGCTTACAGTATATAAGGGGAGACAGATAAAACCAGTAAACAGAGACTCTTACAGTGGTGATAAGAGCTAGGAGGAAGATGAATCAGATGTCCATGATCAAAAATAAGAAGGTATGGATTGGGTTGGGAGAGGAGACTACTTAGAAAGAGTGAGAGAGAAAGTCCTCTCTGTGAAAGTATCATTTTTGCTGAGACATGAAGGATAAGAAGAAATTTGCCATGCATAGAATGATGGCAAGTCAGGAAAGTGTATGAAGTATTTGCATTGAAAAATAACTTGACCTGTTGGATGAACTGGCCATTAAAAAAAGTATGGAGAAGCAGCTGTAAACCAGAGAATATTTCATGACTTAATAGGAGAAGCATTTCAGTTTCTTTAGAAGAAAAAAAATCCTTTCTATATTCCTACAGAGTTATCCCCTGCTTGCATTCTTCTTGGGTCTAAGCTGCAATTTCATTCTTACAGCTTAACTCAGCTCAATATAGAAGACTAACTACATTATCAAAGACCAAAAAGATGTACTATATAAAAATAAATCTCAGTCTTATATCTTTCTCTCTACACAGCCTCCAATATTCTGCTCAATAGAGCAAACATAACCTGTAATATTGCCCCTCCAAAGTGCCACCTGTGTAGATTATCAATTAAGCCTGAGAGTTATTTCATCTTTTAGAGGCGGCATCTTTGATGACAAGCACTGTAACGATACCTAAATAAACAGGCGAGAAAGCCTGGCCCCTCCCAATAACTATATCACCAGTTGTAATGAGCTATGATTAGTATATTAGTATATTAACATATCAGAGATGGCTAATCATTGAACACATGACAGTTGCTTATTATTAGAGAGAAGCTACAGCTAATAGTTCAGTCTTGAACTTTTAAGTTTATTTGAGCAATTGCCAATTGTAATAGAGTTGTTTTTCTACTTTGTCTTATAAACTTTTTCTTAGAATGGAGGTTTTTATGACAAATTAATTGGGGTCCTAACTAGTGTAGTTTAAGTAGAAGTGTGCAGAAGTAGGCTACCTTCATCATATATTTGTGCATTAAATGGTAGGAGTGTCTTTTATGTTAGGCACAATGGAGAGATTGTTATATGATTAAGACATTTCCCAGTCTCTCAAACCTCAACCTATATATATGTTTTAGATTATTAATCTTAATATAAGAACCATGGGACAAACCTATTCAAGAATCCAATAAAATATAAAAATACATGGAAAAAATCATAGTATTTTTGACCAGATTAAATAATAATTACAAATAAGTCATGATAATGAAGATAACTTTTTCACGTGTAAATGAGTCTTATTCCAGAATTTTAAAAGTTAATCTGTTTGTACCCTTTTAACGAGTAAAAGTAAAATATATTTATATAGTACATAAACATATATAAAATATAATATAATATCATTTAAACATGTCCCAGTCCCTCAGGCCTCAATTTAGGTATATCTTTTATGTTGTTAATCTTCATGTGAGAATCCATAGAACAAAGCTGTTCATATATATTATATATGCGTATATATGTATATCTATAATAATAAAAGCATAACATGCTAATTAGACCAGACGTCCTTCCGGACGACCTTCCAGACGAAGCTGGGGCTGTGAGGAAAGCCCGGTCCTGGATGCCAGAGGGAAGCTGGTGCCAGCAGCCAGGGGAAGAAAGGCCTATTCTTGCACGAATTTCATGAATCAGGCCTCTAGTGTATATATAACAGAACTATATAATAATAAATATTATTAAAACTATAGTATTTTATTTGCAGTTGCAGAGGCAAAGCTTGATCTAAACCCTGTAAATTTGGGTATCATCTACTTTCTCTAAACTCCAAAAGATTAGAAGTTTTTCCAGTAATTTTTCTCTATCACAATCTTACTATGTGACTACTGAGTTCATGGTAAAAGGTCCCAAAACTACATATTAACAGTATGACAACTGGTTTATTCAAGTAAATGTGTCACCTCTAGACAAAGCTCAGGTAGCACTGAACTTGGAACATACCCAGAGCCACATGATGTGTGATCTAGTCAGCAGGATTATTACATGTCCAATTCTATATAAGGACCTTTTAGTATGTGTCAAATGCATTCTAAACACTAGTGTTATAAAAATTAAAAAAGAAACAAAAACAACATAGAGCTTATATTCAAGGGGCTTATGGTAGAATAA